ATAAAGTTTTATCATTTGCGGCAGACAAAAGGAACTAAAATAAATTTTATTATATTCGATAATAATAAAAACGGAGCGCATATCCTATTTATTGGGAAACTTCTCTAAACAACCGTCAACATGGTTGCAAAGTGATTTTCCACATTGCAGTCAAATGCTACGGATGTCGAAATATGTTAGAGCATGTTTCACTCAGTCTGTGTTCCGTGTGCCCATAATCAAATTTGTAATGGCTCGAAAATGTCCTTTTGCCCGTGTGCCCGTGTGCCCGTGCATTCAACAAATTCGATTTTCACTTTAGTTTCGCGCAGCTCCGCTCTCTCTCTCTGTGCAGCGAAAACTTTGCGGAAATGTACAACAACACCAGGATGGGGTCACTTTAAGCATGGACTGTCGCCCAGGATAATATGTTGGCGAAGAATTAGATGCATAAAAATGACTTCTCAAGTCGATTTTTACGAAGAAAATGAAAAGTTTGAAAAAATGAGAATGAGAGAGAAAATGGGTGGCAAAATCAAGGTGAAAAGCAATGGCACCAACTCTGTTCGAACCGTATGTCAACAAACATTACATTGCGCCGATAAGATGTAGTTGCGAAACAGAGTCTTTTAAAGAACGAGGAGAACGGTTGCAATCTTGACAACTTTGACATTTTGATGTACACACACATATAAAAACGTATGGCATTGATTGGAAAACGTCAGCAATGAACTAAACTATCACTTATTGTAGCAAGTTCATTGAATGTGTGAACGGGTGGCAATATTCGATGACTTCAAAATCATATGAAAAACCACACAAGTGTTGACAATGCAAACTCACGAATTTTTTCGAAATATTTCTTTGGAAAACAAATCGTGGATGAAGCCTAGGCTTTGCAGAGCCCGAATATCAACAATAAAAGAAAATAAATGAATATAATTCACAAACAAATAATGTATATAAAATGTATGGCGTTTCCAATCTCACCACTGTTCACCACAATCAGTCAAAGCATTAATGTGAATGACGCATGACAAAGTGACTTTCACAGCACACGCAAATGAATTGTTGTCATGTTTACAGTCGGAAACGTCAATGCAAAATCTCCAGTATCCAGTTTCACTCTACTTTTAGTCCCCATGTATGTGTGGTAAACAATGTTTGGCGATAAAAATGTGAATTCGTTTGAATGTTGACATGATTATGGCAGAAAACAGTTTGTCTTGAACATAATACACGGTTCAAAGCACATAATTACGAGCAAACAACAAAGGAAAGATGATTTGAGAGTTCCGAACACTAAATTTGGCAAATAAACAGATTTTCCCGTGCTTCTTCCTGCATCGACGATAAGCGAGGTTCTTTTCTCATCCACAACAACAATGCCAAATCAAATGGTAAAGCTTCTACCAAACGAAAATAACATTTTCAGTTCTAGACACAACAATGAATATATGAACATTTCACACAGAGGATTGTATAATGTATTGCCCATGCTGTGCTGGGCCAATGTTATATTGGAGCAACAGTGTAAACAAATGCGACTCGAGAGAAAATGAATTTTTCTATATGTGTCAAGTAGACTGGGTGAAGGGAGGAAGAAAAAAAAAACGAAGTACGGAACGAAGATGCTAATGCTCCAAAAACACTTGCTTCTCTCATTCATTCTCTTTGTTCCCTACTCGCTCACTTTCTTCCGATATCTATCTGTAGGATGACGGTATTTGATATTCCATTTAATGTTTTGAAATGCTTCACAACGACAATAAGAAATTAGTCATATCAAAGGCTTTGTAAACACTGTAACTCACATGCGAGCACACAGAGAAAAACCCATGGTGTTATTCAAATGTATAGCAACTTCCATTGAGCGTTTATTTATAGAGAAATTATATCGAAGATATTAAAAATTCATTCAATTTCAGTACCTAGAAACATGGAAACCATTTACATATGCACATCGGTTGTGAAACACGAAAGCTCGAATTTTAAAAATAGAATGAAATTTCAAAGAGAAAGAAAAATATCGCCATATATTTTATGTCAGCCATGGGTCTGTGTGTATAAATGTAAATGATGAAGTGAAGAGGGCAAATATGCCGAGCAATTACCTGAAATCGGAAACAATTGGAAAATTTAACGAATGATTTGAAAGTGCAAACGAAAACAAACCATTGAAATGTATATCAAACCGACTTATCACGCTTATTCGAATATTGAAGTGACCGTGTGAACGCGCGCCGCCCGTTTCATTTCATGCGGATCTATAGCACACTGATTGCCTCCAGTAAATTGTGTTAAATTATGAATGTACCATTGAATTTGATGCACGTGTGTCCATCGAGGTGAAAATCAATCTAGAAAATTACTTTTTCGGTTCACAAATTACTTTCACTATTACTTTTTCGAAGAGAATTACGATTTAATTATTATCATAGAAAAATATATTTTTGACAAGTAATTTCTAATAGAAAAGTAATTTATCGAATAAAAAGTAATTTGTAGTAATTTTTGTCTGTATGTTTTCCATGCTTTTTGCATAAATACCGCTCGTTCGATATCTGATGCCAATATGTGAAGCACAAGACTTTTTATGGATATGCATGATTCATTATTGTCAAGCAACGGTCTGGACATAGAAATATGTTTACCTAGATGTTTTATACAGTATAAATATGCAAAGCATAGACGCGTACGGACGTCCGTGCGACAAAAGTATCAACAGAGCCATCGTTGTTTGATGTAGACACACACACTTACGTATGCGTCTCGCATTGCACGATCGCCTGTTGATACGTTCGTCGCACGGTCATCCGCACGCGTCTATGCTTTGCATATTTATCTTGCATATTTCTATGTTCAAACCGGTGCTTGATTATTGTTTTAATTCAAAATTTATGTTTTTGAATATCAAAATACGCGCCCGAGTACAAACAACAGTGGCCGTATGTGTGGCAAAGGATGAAAATGTGTATACATATGTTTGTATGCCAGGTACGAACGAGTAAACAACGAAAATAGATAGACAACGAGATACACAAAGCAAAACACACACACACCGATGATGCAAACAGTAAAGCCCAGACACACTCATACTCACGGTAGCGTATTTGGTCCAAACAACGTCAAGAGTTGCACCATATCCGAAGAATATATGAATTATGAATCCATCCCACACACACACACACACACACACAGTAGCACACACAGAGGTTACGCCGTATGAATGGATGAAGTGATGTGATATTAAAATTAGCCGTATTTCGGCGGTAAATTTAATGTCAAAAATATGTTTCTTTTATGAGCGAACCATTTTCATTTTGCTGGAAAAGTGCATACGAGTGTGTGTACGTTGGATTCAAAGTGAACGTACATTGATAGCGATACCTATGTTGGATTGTCGAAGATGAGATTGCACGGTTCATTGAAATTGCCATGATTTGGTGAATGGATCGCATGGAATCGTGCACTCATTAAAAATGAGCACTTCAAGCACATGGGTATGCGAGCAGACATGTCATTTTGCACGTTGCACGACATGACACGTTGCAACGAAAAGAAGAATGTGTGGAACTGAATCGATGTTTTTTATCCGTACGTATAAGAGATGAGATATGTAGGAATAGTTTTGAATTTTGATACAGCTGGTTGTGAGCTGACATCGAAAATATCAAGTAATGCCATGCCATGAAATAGTCACTCAATTTATATAAAATTCATTGTGAAAATTCCCTATGGAATGCCTGACATATATCGATATACTGATGAAAAATGCAAAACCAAAACAAGTAATAAAACGACAGGGTAAAATGGCATTTAGCTCTCTGAAGTTGGCCCTCTTCCTCATTCCACTATTTCTTCTGTTGTTGTTTTTTTCGACGAGAATACGGACTTTTATGTGAACATTTGAACAAGCCAATATTTGAGCAACGGGGGACTTCACACTAGACTTCACACGCTTCACATAAACATTTGCGACGCGCGAAAATTTACACATTTTAAATGGAAGATCGACCGCATTTAATGTGAAAGGACTCGATTCAAGAGCAGCGCATACTTTTTTCCGGAGGAGGTGCACTGGAAAGAGGCTGCAAAAACATTTTGGAAATCATGCGTACGGCTAAACATTCGCTCTGTTACGGCAAATGACTGGTATTTCAGTTATTTTTGTTCTGTTCTGGTTCGCTTATGCAAACACACACTTATTTTATTTGATTCGTATGCCATTTTACGATGCCATCAAAACCATAAAATATTTTGTATCGGGCTCACCTCTTAATTCACTCTCCTGCTCACGCTCATGCTCAATAAATGTACGAATAAATATGTGTATACATAATTTAAGCTAAAATGAAAGTCAAACGGTAAGAAGCAACAGTTACGCAGCAATTTTGATGGTGTGCATCATTTTTCGGTCTTGGTGTTCTGACTGTCGTTTTTGGAAGGGATTGAAATAAGCATGTTTACACAGCAGTCTCTCTTAATTTAATGTGTTCACATTGGATATTGTACAACGCTCATACATAAACCACATGAATCATAATTAAAAAGCTAATTTTCCCATAGAATAATTTCCAAAAGTGAAACGGTTTTTAATTAACAACAGCATAGTCATAACGACAACTCGACCGAGAATAACATTTAGGTTCGAAATAAGCAATCAGTTCAGAAAAATTCAGTTCGTTCAAATTAAAAAACATTCGCTCTAATTTGCTTGGATTTGTTTGTGCGATTTTGGTGTGTGTGTGTGTGTGTGTGTGTCTACATCTTACTCATTGAAACTAATACTGATCGCTTTGTGTGTTAAACTTAAAATAACATTTTCTTTTTTTTCTCTTCTCCTTTCTGGTTTTCTGTTCGGTTTTTGACACCGTGGTGTTCTGTGCATCGTTTGCGGATAATGCGGGGATTTACCAATGGGGATATTTTTTGAATACTTTGGATCATCCTATCCGGTCCGTCATCACCATCATCATCATCATCATCATCGAAACAACGGCATGGCAACGAACATATAGACAACGTCACAAAAACAAGTCGTAGTCTATTCAACGGTTGGCGTAGTGGAGGTGCCTTATCAGGCACAGGCACCTCTAGTAACAATCACATCAATAATTTTAGTGAATACCCATCATTTCAAACCACGACCACTACACGAATAATGGCTACCTCATCAGGAATTTTTAAAGATTGTACTCATATTACATTTAATGACACCATCAAATCGCATAACAATGTTACATTCAAATTAGTTAAAACAGGTAAGTGCCCACATCCGGCCACATAGCCGCGCCAACAATGTGCGTATGTAACTTGAGGCCTATTCTCCCTCTATTCATGTCCTATTCGCCTGCCATTTGTAAAGACAATTAAATACATGAAGTCAAGTCGAATAGTGTGTGTGTCATCATCGTTAGGTGTGTAGGTGTGTGTGTGTGTGTGTGTGTGTGTGTGTGTGTGTGTGTGTGTGTG